TCTGTAATCTTGGGGTATGTAGGTTAGGGTATGTAAGGCGAGCGGGGTCTGTCGGGTAAGGAAGGGTCTGTCAGGTTAGGGTATGTAGGATCAGGGTCTGTAGGGTTCGAGTGTGGGGGGTTCGGCTCTGTAGGGCTCGTAGGGTCTGTAGGGTTAGGGTCTGTAGTGTTAGGGTATATTGGGTTAGGGTCTGCAGGTTTGAGTCTGTAGAGTTAGGGCTTGTGGGGCTAGTAGGGTATGTAGGATTAGGGCGTGTAGGGCTAGGGCATGCAGGGTTCGGGTATGCAGGGCTGGAGTCTGTGGTGTGAGGGTGTAGAGGGATATTATGGCCGGTAGGGTTGGGGTATGTAGGTGTAGGGTATGTCGGGTTAGAGCATGTGAGGTTCGAGTATGTATGCTGAGGGTATGGTATGTAAGGTTTGGGTATGCCGGGTTAGGGTCTGTCGGGTTCGGGTTTGTAGGGTTAGAGTCTGTCAGGTTAGGGGCTGTCGGGTTAATAGGGTCTGTAGGGTTCGGGCTCTGTGGGGTTCGAGTCTGTAGTGTAAGGGTCTGTAGGGTTGGGGTCTGTAAGGTTAGGGCCTGTAGGGCTAGTAAGGTCTGGAGTGTTAGGGTCTGTGGGGTTAGGTCTGTAGGGTTCCCTGCGAGGTTAGAGTAGTATGTAGGGTCACGGTATGAAGGGTTAGTCGGATCTGCCGGGTTAGGGTATGTAGGGATAGAGTATGTCCGGTTAGGGTATGCATGGTTAAGTGGTCTGTAAGGTTAAGGTCTGTAGGGTTAGAATATTTTGGGCCAGGGTACGTAGGGTTAGAGTATGTAGTGTTAGTGTCTATCGGGTTACTCGGGTCTGTCGGGTCAGGGTATGTAGGGTTAGGACCTGTAGGTATAAGGTCTGTAGGGTTAGAGTCCGTAGAGGTACGGGCTGTAGGGTTGATAGGTTGTGTTGGGTTAGAGTATGTATGGTTAGGGCCTGTAGGATCAGGGTATGTAGGGATAGAAAATGTGATGTAAAAGTCCGTACGGTTAGGGCATGCAGGGTTGGTACGGCATGTAGGGTCAGGGTCTGTAGGAGGGTCTGTAGGGTCAGGACATGTAGGGTTCGGATGTGTCGGCTTGGAGTATGTATTGTTCGGGCGTGTAGGGTTGGTCGGTTCTGCAGGGTTGGGCCTGTAGTGTTAGGCTATGTCGGGCTAGGGTATGTGGTATGTGGTGTTAGAGTGTTTTAAGGTCAGGGTATGTAGGGTTCGTAGGTATGCAGGGTTAGGGCTTGTAGGGTTAGGCTATGTAGGGATAGGGTATGCAGATTCGATTATGTGGGGGTAGGGTCTGTGGGTACAGTAGTGTGAGTAGGGTTCGGGTCTGTAGGGTCCGGGTCTGTAGGGTGCGGGTATGTAGGGTTAGGGTGTGTCGTGTTAGGGTCTGTAGGGTTAGTGGGGTCTACAGGGTCAGGTCTGTTCGGTCAGGGCATGTTGGGTTGGGGTATGTGAGTTACGAGCCCGTATAGTGAGTGCCTGTGGGGATAGTGGGGTATGTAGGGTTAGGGTATGTAGGATTAGGGCGTGTAGGCTTGGCATATATAGGGCATGAATGGTTAGGGTAAGTAGGACTATGGTATGCGGGCATGGTGTATGGTTCGTAGGGCGTGTCGGGCTAGGGTCTGTAAGGTCAAGGTCTGGCGTGGCTGGGCATGTAGGGTTTGACCATGTGGGATTAGGTGATGTAGACTTAATAGGGTCTGTAGGTTTAGGCCATGTAGGGTTATGATATTCAGAGTTAAGGTCTGTAGAGTTAGATTGTGCAGGGTTAATGTATGCAGTGTTAATCGGATCTGTATGGCTAGGGTATGCAGGGTTAGGGCCTGCAGGATTCGGGTATAGAGGCTGTAGGGTTAGGTTATGTGGGTTTAGTAGGGTATCTAGGGTTAGGACCACTAGGCTTCGGGTATGTAGGATTGGTGCCTGCAGGGTTCGAGTCTGTAGTGTTCGGATATGTGGGGTTAGTAGGGTCTGTAGGGTTCGGGTATGTATGGTTAGGGTCTGCCGGGTTAGGGTATGTGAGGTTAGTGTCTGTAGGGGTAGGGCCTGCAAGGTTAGCAGGGTTTGTATGGGTAGGGTCTGTAGGATTCGGGTCTGCAGGGTTAGGGTTTATACGGTTAGGGTGAGTAGGGTTACGGTTTATAGGGGTGGTCCAGAGAAGAGATGGATCTCATCGCGGCGTTGAGAATGACCCTAATGATGGGCTTGATGATGACGATGGCGATTATGACGGCGATTATGGTGATGGCGTGGAAGAGAGGGGTGATAATAGATCCTGCGCGGGGGTGGGGGCGTTCAGAGAAAACAAGAACTCCACTTCTGGATGTGGGAAAATTCTTCGCGTAGTACCCAGCCGCATAGCGCAAGGACGGCCCTCTCTTCATATCTTGGCGAGTCGGCATGGGAGAATGTGAAATTCTCCATGGTGCACCATCCATGCGAGTGGTGTGCTGGATTGAGGCATAGCGCCATCCGAGCTCACTAATTTTGCCCATAGTGAGGTTCCCGATGGTGCACGAAACGCGTGCGATGTGTGCCGAGTCGCGGTGGGGGCGCCGTGCACACAAAAGAAGCACCACTGGAGCTGTAGGTGAAGAGCCACATGGCGCGTGAAGCGAGTGCAAGTGTGCCGACTTGACGCGGGGGCTCTGGACGCCATGGAAGCTCGCCCACTGTGGCCATGCGATACGTGTGACAGGTGCGCCGATATGAAGCAGAGATGCCATGCGCGCTCTTCAATTGGGGCCATAGTGCGGGCCAGTGTGACGGGCGTGGCGACTTGAGGCGAGGACCGCATGCCTGCGGCACCGCAGTGGCCGCAGTTGGAGCCCGTTTATGGGGCGCGATCAGGGCGAGAGGCATGCCGATTTGGCGCGGGGATTACATGCGCGCAACCACACTGGGGCCGTGATTCCCTATATTGCACGACCCGTGCGAAGTATGCGAATACGGCCTGGACGCAATGCGACCTCCCCCAATTGGGCCGTAGTGGGCGCATACTTGTGTGTGAGTGGTTGGGGCGGGGGCGCCCTGCGAGCTTCCAAGGTGACCGTGCGTAAGGCTCCCTTAGGGGCATTATACGGGCGAGGAGCGTCTAAATTGATGCGGGGGGACGCCATGCGAGCTCCCCCATCGGGGCCGCGGTTGGAGCCCCGTAGATGGCACGAAGCGCGTGAGAGACGAACTGAGGCGGGGACCGCGCGCGCGCAGCACCACGGGGTCCATATCTGGTATTCCTTATGGGGCACGAAACGCGTAATGGGCGGGATTGAGGCGGGGACGCCATGCGCGCAGCCCCAGTGAAGCTGCAAATGGAATGTATAGACCCCATCTGGGTCACGGTATGTGCGAGGAGTATGCCGAATTGTGGCGGGGACGCCATCCAGCAGCCACCACCTGGATTGGGGCAAGAAGCGCGTGCAGGCGTGCCGAATTGAGGCGGAGAAGACGCCATGTGAGCTACTCAACTGAGGCCATAACTGGAGCCTCCGCATGGCGCGATGGAGCGAACGACGTGTGAGGGATGTGCTGGATTGAGGCGGAGAAGCAATACGAGCCTCCACAAATGGGGCTATCGTTTGGGGCTCACTTCGGGGCGAGGTACCTTTGATATACGTGCGAGGCTCGTTCAGCGCTGGTGATGAAACCGTATGCTTATACACATAGATTATTATATGTGTACATACGCAGACATATGATCCGCGCCGCGCCTTGCGGGGCCGAGGCACCGTTGAGATGATGGTGATGGTGGTTCTGATGTATAGGCGCATGCAAGTGTTGATATCATTGCGTTGTGAATCATTATCATCATCATCACCATCAGCATCTTCGTCATCACCATCGCCATAATCATGCGGACTCACCCGGTAAGCAGGAAGCTTTTCCACAAGTCCTATCCTGGGATCGGTGGGAGAATTCCTCTTCCTCCTCCTCCTCCACGTCCCTCCTCGCGGAGCGCCGAAGTGGAGGCGACGGGCGCGCTTGCCCCAGACCCCCGATCCTCTTCACTCCTCCGCATTCTTCTCCCCCCCATTCCCCCTCCTCTTCCTCGGGGCGCGGAAGATGAAGCGACGGGCGCGGCTGACCCGAGACCCCCTCTTAAGCGCAGGTAAGTCTCTGGGCCGTCGACCGCGGCTTCGTCCTCATCTCGCTGGAGCAGGCCTGGCGCGGCCTGGGCCCGCGGGCCGCTGGGGGGCCCGCCGCCCGCGGTCGCGGGCGCTGGAGCGACATCGTCGCGCAACGCGTCCCCGCGTCCTCCTCCTCCTCCTCCTCCTCCTCCTCCTCCTCCTCCTCCTCCTCCTCCCCTTGCTCGCCCAGGGTGTTCTTCCGCCGAAGCTTCGCACGAGACAGAGGTCCAGACCCACACGTCAGGAGCCGCATCCCTCGGATAGCCGGGCCCAGAGGTGCCCAGAAGGGCCCTGGAACACCCCAATGGGGGCTCCAAGACGGCCCCGTGAGGCCACCCAGACGCCCCCAGGAGGCGAGCTGCTTGGCGATAGGTGGCAGCGGCGCAAGGTTCTGGCAAGGCCTCGGTGCGGGCAGGGAAGAAAGGGGGCCTTTCCTCTGTCTGGCGAGCTGGAGGGCTAACGCCAATGACGAGAACTATACATCCTTCTAAAGTAAGGAGGTAGATGTTTTGAGTCCCCCCAAACCTGAGGTGCAATCAAAAGCTTTCCAGGCCCCCCTGGTGAGAATGAGAGATCTTATCGGTAGCAATTGCACTGGCTTCTGCTGTGTCCTTCGCGAACGGATGATCCTTGTGCTGAGAGAGGACCTGCCCCATCACAATGGAACAATCTCCCAATTCCACTACTCCGTGCGAAACGTGCTAATACGTTGCTTGGTACCGTTGCCTCTCCGCCACGCCCGTCCATAGACTCAGTGGGAGTATGCGATGCTTTTGTTGTTGTTGTTGGTGTTGTTGGTGTTGTTGTTGTTGTTGTTGTTGTTGTTGTTGTTGTTGTTGTTGTTGGGGCGGAGAAGAGTATGATGAAACAAACAATGCGCCGAATGGTATCCGCTGGCGCTGCTCGGAAAATGCCCTGCAACCTGAAATAATTCGCAAGCCCAGCGGGCCAACAGCGTATCAGATCCTCTAAGCAGGTGGCTTAGGTAATGCGGGCGGTAGGTGTTAGAAAATAGTCCGCGCGCGCGAGGGCGCCCCCGTTGGGGGGGCTGCGGGCCTGATTGGGCCCCAACGTGCCCCACTAGCGCGGTCCAACGGGTGCCAGGCCTCGTGCTTGCCCCAAGATGGTCCATGATGGCCAAGGCTAGCCTAAACATCAAGATGGCCGAGCATGCGCCCATCGGAGGCCCCCAACAAAATCATGCGGCGGGTTCCGGAAACCCTGAATCCAAAAACGTTTTCATCTCTTGGGGGTGCATCTTTTACTTCCGCCGACATCCGCCGAGGAAAAGCTGACAACTCCTTCGATCCTCGAAGGCACGGAAGGCCCTTTTTGGAACGCCCAATGCAATTCAAGCATCTGTTGTTGTTGTTGTTGGTGGTGGTGGTGGTGTTTCTGGTATTATCAACTCCGCGGGCTCCAACGGGCTCCTCGGGCCCCGAGGCGGCCCCCTAAGAAAACCATGCAATTGGAACGTGTGTTTGTTGTTGTCGTTGTTGTCGTTGTTGAACTCTCACTCTTGAAGAATAATTATTGATACCCCCTCTGGTGACCATTGTGTTTTGTTCAAGTGACCCCGGAGGCTCGCACCCTGTATTTGATCAGGGAAAGTCACTAAGCTCAAACTGTGCTGCCCTTGGCCCCCTGGTTGCTACAACAACGGCTCCCGCCTGAGACTTCTCACAATTTAGCCAGGACCCCGCTCCCGCCTGAGAGTTCCTCGCGTTGTACTCAGGAATCACGCTCTCGCTTGGGACTTCCTTGCAATTTATGCAGGAATCGCTCTCCTGGCGCTCTGAAGTCGCGCTCTCGCTGGAGACGCGCATGCTTGCTCAAGAATCGCGCTCTTGCGTTGGAGGTCCCTGCAATTTACTCAATCGCCGCGCTCCCGACCCTCAGGCACCCAGGAGTCGCGCTCACGCTTAGGACTCCCTCGCAGCTTACTTAGGAATCGGGATCTTTCTCCCTTCCTGGCCCCGTTGCAGCCCTTCGTGGCCCACTCGCTGCCCTTCGTGGCCCCGTTGCAGCCCTTCGTGGCCTCTTCGCGGCCTCGTTGCAGCCCTTTGTGGCCCCCTCGCTGCCCCTCGCGGCTCGCAGCCCTTCGTGGCTCCCTCGCTGCCCTTCGTTGCCCTTCGTTGCAGCCCTTCGTGGCCCCCTCGCTGCCCTTCGTGGCCCCGTTGCAGCCCATCGTGGCCCCTTCGCTGCCCTTCGTGGCCCCATATCTGTATGCTTTTCGTGGCCTCCGCTCGTTCGCGCCCGTCGTGGCCCCGCATGCATGCGCTTCGTGGCCCCGCTGTTGGCCTCCGTGGCCCCCTCGCTGCCCCTTTTGGCCCCGTTGCTGCCCGTCCATGCCCTCTGCGGCCCAATATACGCATGCCCTTCGTGGCCCCCTCTGGTTCGCGCCCGTCGTGGCCCCATATGCGTACCCTTCGTGGCCCCGGCGTCGCCCTCTGCGGCTCCCTCGCAGTCCTACGTGGCCCCGTCGCTACCCTCAGTGGCCCCGTCGTTGCCCTCCGTTGCCCCGCATCATCTGCACTTCGTGGCCCCGGCTCTTTCGCGCCCTTCGTGGCCCCATACGCATGCTATTCGTGGCCCCGCTGTCGCCCTTCGTGGCCCCGCTGTCGCTGTCGCTCTCGCTCGTCGTCATCGTCGTCGGCGTTGTCGTTGTCGTCGTCGCCGCCGTCGTCGTCGTCGTCGTCGTCGTCGTCGTCGTCGTGGTCGGTCCCCTGTCCGTTCCTCCTGGGGTCGGGTTTCCGCCGGTCAGCGCTGCCGCTGGCCAGGCCGATTGTCCGCGGCCGCCCCGCCGCTTGCCGGGGCCCGGCCTGCCAGGAAGAAAGATATAGCCCCCCAAAGGGTACGATCTAAGATGAAGAGGGTGGGTATCGAGGGTTTGGGAATACGCGTTGAAAGACATTCGAACAGATAACAACAAACAGTCTTAACGTGTTCGTTGTTGTTGTTGCTGTGGCTGATGCTGTTACTCTTGTTGTTAGTAATATCGTGATTGTTGTGGTGGTTGTTTTTTTATGACGTTGTGTTTGTTGTTGCTGTTGAGGTTGTCGCTGTTGTTGTTGTTGTAATTGGTGGCGTTGCAGTTGTTGTCAGTGTTACCGTTGTTGTTGTTACTGTTGATACTATTGTTGTTGACATGGTGGTGTTTGTTGTGTTTGTTGTTGTTGTTGCTGTTGTTGCTGTTGTTGATGCTGTTATCGTTATCGGTGTTGTGTTTGTTGTTGCTGATGATGTTGCTGCCGTTGTTGTTGGTGGTTGTTGGTGTTTGTTGTTGAACTCTCATTTCTAAATAATGATTACTGCTGATCCCCCTTGGGGGGGTGGCCAGAGCTGGACTGCAGCGTCCCCCCCCGTTATGTACGGGGGTGCATTCATGGGCACAGAGGGCGGGTGCGAGGGAGAGGGAGACACGCGTGAAAGCACAACCGGCCTCCCAGAGAAAGCAGTCGTGAGATGACGCCTGTTGCTGCTGCTGCTGCTGTCGATTCCGGTCTTCTCGCTCCGGCGGGCTCCGACGGCCCTCTTGGGCCCCGAGGAGGCGGCCCCGGCACTGCCCCGTCGAGAGCCCTGCGGCCCTCCGCAGGATCTCCGCGAGGAGGGCACTCTGAGAGGCTCCCGACACGACCCAAGAGCGCGGGTAGGCTGTCGCAAATTTAGAAGCAGACCCCAAGAAGACGAGACCAGGGCGAGCACAACATCGGAGGAGGACAGATCAAGAATCTCTGAGATCATCCGACGGTTCTGGTAATGTCTCGGGCGCCGCGGCCTCCTCAGATCGTTGCGGAACGCTACGCTCTGGAACGGATTTCTCCTCGTCCTAGCCCCGTCCGACCCAAGGTTGGCCCAACAGGCCTAAGTAGTTCCTGTCATGATCGAGACCCGCCAGAAGAAGACAACCAACGCACGCGCGAAATATTTGGCAAAGTCGTCACGTTGAAGGCGAAGCTGGCCAAGACCATCGTGCGAGCTGCAAGCCTTCCCCGCGAAGGCCCTCAAGCACGAGCTCTGAGGGCCCCATGGTCGGCGGCTTACCGTCTACGTCTTTCCAACGCTCGGCCCTTGCATGGAGAGGCGAGATGGCCTCGGCTGGCTCGAGACAACTGGACGGACTGCAAGTGTGGCTCAATCTTGTCGAAGGGCCTCTCCTCGGGGGCTCTCTCGAAGCAGCGCTTTCGATGATCATGGCGTTCCCGACCTTGCAGGCTCCAATGGGGGCCTCAATCCCCGCCGTGGCCCCAAGAAAAACACAATGCAGCCCCCAAGATCTAAGAAGATGGCTCCAAGATGACGCCACGCGGTCCTAAGAGCGGCCCAAGATCCAGGACAACTGGGCGGCATTCCTCAGAATATGGCCCCAGGATAGCCCCACGTTGCTCCAGGATAGCCCACCATTGTCGAAGACAGCCCCCAAGAATATGCCCCAAGAGCCCCCTCAGAGGCTCCCAGGACTTCCCCCAAAGCCTCCCAGAGACACCTACGAGGTCCCAAAGATGCTCCAACAGCTGACAAAGCGTTGTTTTTCTAATTGTCTGCTCATGTTTGCGGGCGTCGACGGTGAATCTTGGCTGAAACGTGTTCCGCTGAGTGTTGCTGTCAACCTACCAAGCGACTGCTTCTCCCCCACGCGAGTCTCACACGACAATTCAGTGAAACTGTGACCACCCAGCAGCTTCCCACTTCCCGCGAGCACACAAGCGAATAGTGCAAGGATTCTATAACATGAGCCTGCGGGATTCGCGAAGCGGTTGAATAATCAAAGACACGAGCTGATATAGAAAGCCAGCGGAAACTGCGAACACCAGTGAAACCATGCCTGCGACGCACCGCATGTCAGGTGCAGAGCCCTTCTACGAATATTGATATTCGCTCCAGCAGCTGCGCCCTCACATCATTGCGGCCTCGGTTGTTCACAACGCCGGATCACAGCAAGTCAGGTAGCTGACATGTATACAGCTGTCCCAGACCACGGCAGTGAAGATCGACATGCACGGATGGTGGAACGAAACCAACTGAAGCTGCATGCGCGCACTGGTAGGAACCAAAGGCGCAGCCAAATCGCAGCAGCAAGATAACGATCATCCATTGGCACTGCAGAGAATCAGACAGCATGGCTGGGGAGCAATCCACTCCTCATTCTCCCTTCCTTTCCTTCCTCTTTCCTCCTCCTCTTTCCTGCTATACCCCCCATGCGATCAACAACCCCCCCCCCGTCTAGTGACTGATCTCTATCCGTTCTTCGTTCAACCGACCCTGGCTCGCTGAGCCATCGGCGATTCTGCAAATGGTCAATAGCCTGCTTGGTCCGCTTCACGTCCTCGGTCCAGAGTTTACTCTAAAGTCGCACCCGAACGACCTTTCCACCGCATACCCTGGTCAACAAGAGGCCAAACAAGGAGTGACACATATCCCCGCTATAGGGGGGGCTGCGAGGGAGAAACGTCTCAAGGACGAGCAGGGCGAGCAGGAGGAGCAACAGTAGAGTGTCTCGGCTGCGACATCAGGTCTCGGGCGAAGCGGCCTCTGAAGGAGGAGGAGGATGTGAATGAGCACGAAGAGGGGTGAGGGGGATGAAGAAGTGGAAGGAGAAGGAGGAGGAGGATGACCGACGAGGCTGAGGCGGAATATGAGTGATGAGGAGGATGAATCTTAGGAGGGATAATGGACGAGGAGGAGGAGGAGAAGGAGGAGGAGGAGGAAGAGGAGCACGAGGAGCATGAGGATGAGTGATGATGAGGAGGACGAGGGGTAACCTTCCTTCCTATCCTGCTGCCTGCTTCCGCTCGGCGCCGAAAGACGCCTGGGCTCCTCGAAGCTGAGAGTCAGTATGAACAGGGTCTGCTTTTCGCGCTGCTCCTCGTGCAGGTGGAGAGGGCGATCGCTAAGCAGGAGAGAAGTTACACGTCGCTCATTTCTAATCGTGCTCATTTCTAATTGTGCTCGTTTCTAATTGTTCCTGGTCCCCAAGTGGCCAGGAAGAGGACCAGAATAGAAGAATTAGAATTGAAAGGATCCTGGCCTCCGAAAAATTAAAGAACTCTCGAATACTTAGAAATTAGCAGTGGGTAGGAGGAGGGAGGGAGGGGGTTTGGGGGAGGAGGGAGGGAGGGGAATTCTGTTGCTGTTGAGCCCTCTTTTCTGACAGTTAATTATTCCTGATCCCCCCTTCTGCTGCCCAACGTGGTGTCTCGATCGAGTTGACCCCTTCCGGGGCTCGCACCCTCTTTTTCATTATGGAAAATCTGGAGGGTCAGACTGAGTTGTTGGCTCCCAGACTACATCAGCAACGGCTGCCGTCTGATACTTCTTCGCATTTTTTCTCGAGTCGCGCTCTCGCCCAGTAATTCGTGGCAATGTGCTGAGGCGCTGTGCTCCCGACGTCCAGGAACCGCGCTCTCGCAAGAGACCTCCCAACAATTTACTAAGGACTCGTGATCTCGCCTGAGACCAGTATTTGAGATTCACACAGCCCCCGAAGAGGCACAATTTCGTTAACATCAATGTTCTGTCTTGTTCCCCACCTCCCAGAGGTATCCCGTGACATCTTCATCTTGTCGCTGCTGAATGTGTGCCGCCCAGAACCAGAGGTTGCCTGGAAGGATAGAAACAAAAATCGCCTGAGGCTCCTTCACAATCTACGGCATGCGTTCGAATGCCCAGCCCGCCCGACCCGCCCGTCAGGGCCCGCCCCGCCCGGCCCGGCCGTCAGGGTTCGCCCGCCCGTCCTGCCCCGCGGGGTCTGTTCCTGCGCCTGCTCGGATCCCCGCCCGCCCGCTGGACGGGCCCGCCCGACTCGCCCGTCAGAGTCCGCCCGCCCGGCCTGCCCCTCGGGGACCAGCCTCTCGCGTGCCTGGAAGCCCGCCCGCCCGCTTCGATGCCCCGACCGCCAGCCCGTCCGTCTGGGCCCGCCTGCCAAAACCACTGCCCCTCTCTCCCCCCCCTGCTGCGAAACCTTCTGCGCCCCAACCCTCCTCCCTTCCTCTTGCCCCCTCCCTTCTCGTTTCCTCCTCCTCCCCTCGCTCTTCCCTGTCTCCTCCTCCTCTTCCTATCCGAGGGGCCGCGACAATTACACGTGACAGACAAGGAACAAACATCCCCCAAAGGTTACGATCGAAGACGAGGGGGGCAGCTATCGATGGTTTCGGGTATACATACTGACTGCCATGCGAGCACCGAAAGGCGAACAATCTCAACATGATTGCTGTTGTCATTGGCCCCCCCTCCACACGACAACGCGAAGCAAACCGCCCGATGCACCAGAGGTTGCCTCCGAAAGCATGCCGTGAGGCTGTGGGAGAGGAGGGCGGGGAGGGGAAGGGCTGGCCAGGACGGAGCACCCTCTTCGGGTGGGAGTTTAATGTCATCGCAGCTGCTGCCGCTGCTTCTCTCTCTCTCTCTCTCTCCCCCTCCTCCCCCTCCTCCCCCTCCTCCTCGTCCTCCGGCGGCCAAGCATGATGGGGGATACCACTATCTTCCTTCTTCCTCCTTCTCCTCCATCCTCGCCTTCATTCTCCTGTGCCCCCCCTCCTCAGCCCCATCATCCCCTCCACTCCCGGGCAAAGGCTAACATGTTTTCGTCTGAAAGCTTGAGCTGTGTCGGAGCTTGTGAAGCTTTCCTGGCCCCTGGATGTCCAGAGGACGTGGCAACTTGGGAATCCAGGGGTCACGGCAGGAGGGGGGGACGACAGGTTGTAAACATTTTGCGGCTCCTAAGATTCTGTCCCCATCTGACAAAAAACAGTTTTGGACGTGGACGCCTGGAAATCCAGTGGAAGCCCGGACGGCAGGCATGGCCGACAAGTGTGGGACAACTTTTCAAGTTCTCTGCGCTCTCAAAATGTTGCTCTGAAGTTTTGAGCCAATTGAAGACTTCCCAGCCCTGGATCCCTTGATCAAGGTTCCCCCAGACAGCTTCACCGCCGACTGGATTTTGGACTCACCACCTTCTTGGATTGATGAACGCCTCCTTGTCTTGCTGCCTCCGTCTCGAGCCCTCAATCACCTCCGCCACCTCCACCACTCCCCCCTTCACGCTGCCTCTCCTCTCTGTCACTGGTGGTCCTGGCTGCTTAGCGAAGAGACGTGGTGACTACGGCAGGAGCCCTCGTCCTTGGACGAGCGCATCGGCGCAGCGTGCCTGCCAAGAGCCATCGCCTCCTCTTTCGATCCACGTGCTACGGGAGGGAGACTCCGGGAGGAAGGGCAAGAGGAGGGGGTGAGTCGGGTCGGGCGAAAGGGGGGGATAGCAAAGGGGGGGTTTGAGAATCAGCTCACGTAGCTGATTTTCCTGACGCCTCCCAGCGCCGGAGGCGGCCATGTGTCGAGGAATGGGCCCCTCGGTGGGGCCGAAACCAGCTGCATGCAGCAGATTTCGTACACCCCCCTTTCCCGATCCCCCCCTTTCGCCCGGCCCGAGTGAGGGTGGGAGAGAGAGGACGGCAAGGACACAGGTTGTTCGACCGACTGGCGTGTTGTCGCGAACTCGCCCGACGGTGCTTGCTGGCCGCGGTCACTCAGTGAAGCTCGCCGCTCTGTCGAGGAACCTTCGAGATTGTCGTCGCCGCGAGAGGAGGGACGGAGGAGGGACTGGCTCAGAGATGCAGTGTGTCGCGAGCAAAAACACGACGGCCCTCTTGAGGTCGCTTTGCCCCTCACTGCTCCTTTACACCCGTCCCCGGCCCCTGCCCTTCAGCCCTCTTTGCTTCCCTTACCGTAAACCCTCCCCTCTACATCTCCGCGCGGCGGAGTGTCGGAGGAGTGGAGTTTGGGGTAGCATGGGTGGAACTATACTTGCCTGCTGTCGGCGGCGGGCCCGCGGTGGAAGTGAGAAAGAGAAGGTCTTCTCACAAGGCTCCGAAGTCTCCCGGCCTTCTGAGAAGTGTCTGAGCCTTCCCCGGAGACGCCGAAAACTTCTCAGACGGCGCCAGGGCCTCTGAGAAGCCGCGCCGCCTTCTGAGTGGGCCTTCTCCTTCTCACTTCCCCCCCCTCGCGCGCCGCCGATGGCAGGGTGGAACTCTGATCCCAGACATGCGGCGTCCTGACTTTTTCAGGACGGCGTCCCTGGAAGCCCCGACCCTTTCCCCGGGACCGGTTTTTCGTCCTGCGTCGTTTCTTGACGGCCCCGAGGCCTGGCGAGGGCCTCGCGGGGCCGAAAATTGCCAAAAAGGCGAAAACCTGCCGTCCTGATTTTTTTAACGACGCGATCATGTCTGGGAGGCCTTCTTCCCTTCCAAGGCGTGCTTCCTGCTGGCAGGGCCGCGCGCCGGGTGCCCTGCGGCCCCTCGCCCCTGCTCCAGCCTGGGGGTGGGCAGGGCGCGCGGGCCGCTTGCCCGCCGAGCGCCGCGGCAGACCTGTCCGACTCGGCGTGTCTCCCCCCCTCCCCCTCCCTCCCTCGCTCTCTCTCTCTCTCTGCCTCTCTCTCTCTCTCTATCTCTCTCTCTCTCTCTCTCTTCCCTCCCTCGCTCCCTCCCTGCCCCTCCCTCCCTCTCTCTCTCTCTCCCCCCTCTCTCCCCCCCCCCCTCCCCCCCTCTCTCTCAATATTCCCCCCCCCCCCCCCATGCACCCCCCCGAAACCTTCAGATCTGACGTTGCAACCAAAAGTGTTACAGCGCGAAAAATCCCGACCGGAGCCCTAGACCCTACCTTTCTGCGCCATTTTGGGAGCCGGATCGACCTGTGAGAGTCCTGGGGCCTAGAACCCGGACGAACACGCCCGTTGTGAAAAAACAATGCCACTCCAGGATCGCAGGGAGCCTCGAAGCTCGAGCCCTGCGGCGCGGTCCTCGGAGCGCCCTCGGCGAGGCGCGGCCGCTGGAAGGCACCCCGAGGCTGGAAAGCCGCCGAGAGCCGACGAGAAGAGGTCCGAAAACCTCGAGCCTCGAGCCTCAAGCCCGAGGAAGAGGTCAGAATGAAGGGGCCCTGGGACCCACAAATAAACAGACACAAACAACAGGATTCCCCATGTCTCCCAACATTTTTTCTGGGCTTGTGTCTTTCCCCCCCCCACTCCCCGTTTTTTCCCATCTTTTCGGGGGGATCGACGACGAATTGTGTCTGTGAGTGTTTTTTTCCCTCCTGACAGAACAGGTCCGAGACGCCCCCGGGCGGGCCCGGCGGGCACCCCCCCCTCCCGAGAGGGGCGTCCTCCGCGGCCACGAGGAGCAGCGCGCGCCGCGCCTCCGAGGTGTCCGAGGGCTCGTCCTCGTCAGCGGCGCTGGCCTCGCCCGGCTTCGCGGAGCCTGGGTCGGAGGCGGCACGCGAGCGCGCGAGACGAACGAAGCGACGAGCAAGCGGGCGAGACGAACGCGAGCGAGCCGCGCGAGCGAACAAGACGACGGGCGAGACGAACGCGAGCGAGCGGGCGCACGAGCGGAGCAAACGGACGAGCGAACGAGACGACGGAGGCATGGCGATTGCAAGAAGGGAGCGGGCGAACGAGCACCCGAAGCGTGCGCGCTCCGCAGGGGAGCCTCTCTCTCGTGCTCGTCGCTGGGGGGGGGCAGGGAGAGGAGGACACCTCCTCCTCCTCCTCCTTCTCCTCCTCCTCCTCCTCCTTCTCCCTCTCCTCCTCCTCCTCCTCCTCCTCCTCCTCCTCCTCCTCCTCCTCCTCCTCCTCCTCCTCCTCCTCCTCAGATCGCAGAGGGAGTACGGGGGGGAGGGGGAGGAAGGAGAGGATGGGGGAGGAAGGGGAGGGGGACGGGGAGGAGGGGAAGAGGGGGAGGGGGTAATTGTGGAGGGGGGAGGTGGAGGAGAACAAGGGGAGGGATGGGGCAGCAGGAGGGGTGGGGAGTGAGGAGGGGGAGGGGGATGAGGGCAACGAAGGGAATGCATGATAACGAGGAGTAGAGGAGGGGATTCTGACGAGCAGCATGGGAAGAGATGACGACAATGACGACGACAATGACGATGACGATGACGATGACGATGACGATGATGCTGATGATGCTGCTGATGATGATGCTGCTGATGATGATGCTGATGATGCTGCTGCTGCTGCTGCTGATGATGATGATGATGATGATGATGATGATGATGATGATGATGATGATGATGATGATGATGATGATGATGATATTGATGATGCTATTGATGATGGTGGTGGTGGTGGTGGTAAGTAGTTCACGCGGAAATCCCCATGTGCGCATCTGGCTTCCTGGCATGCTCTGCTGTGAGCGTCTGAGTACAACAAACACCTTAGCCTGTGGCGACTGGGTGCTCCCTGGCGGCTCCCCCTTGGAGTGCCCAGATACTATGCCTGCTGCGTCGGGATGGTCCTGGGACTCTGAAGGGAGGAGGAGGAGGAGGAGGAGGAGGAGGAGGAGGAGGAGGAGGAGGAGGAGGAAGACAAAGAGGAGGAGAAGGTCGGGGGCGCGCAAACATGGACTAACGATCCATGGATTTGGCGCGCGGTCGCGGTGCCCTCCCCAACATGCGGCCAGGGTGCCGCTTCGCTCGGCGGCGGGAATCCGCGATGTCCCACGGAAGCGGGGCCCGTCGCCAATCCACGCCCCCTCGATCCATGCTTGCGATCGCCTGACAATGCCATGCCTGCTGCGTCGGGACGGTCTTGGGACCCTGAAGGGAGGGGAGTCGAGGGTGCCACCATCAGCGCTCGGGACGTCCTCACGATCGGGCCGCGCACGGTCAAGGGGCACACCCCTTGGTGGCTCCCCCCCTTGGGGTGCCCAGGTGCCATGCCCGCTGCACTGCGGTGAGGGCTCCGGAGGGAGCACCGTCGGGGGCACAGCTCGAGCACCTCGCTCGAGAGATCCCCGCAGTCTGGCCGCGAACGGGCCCACGATATGCCTCCTGGCTGCTCCCCCCATGGGAGTACCCAAGTGCTCTGCTTGCTATACGGTGTGGTCATTGGATAAGGAACCCTTAGATAAGGAATCCAAGGTCTGGAAGCCAGTGGAACTCCAATCGTGGATTGGCCATGGATACCACCGCCGACCTCATCAGATAAGGACCCCCCCAGGGTCTGCAGCCTCCTGGGCACATTCCTTAACCAACGCCCCCACCGTACCGCGGTGATCGTGGGGATGTGAACAGGGAGCAGTCGGGGGTACCAAACACGCGACTCGCTTGAGACCTCCCCACACTCTGGCCGCGAACGGGCCCGTGAGATACCCCCTAGCGGCTCCCCCCTGGGGCGCTCAAGTGCCATGGCTGCTACATCGCAGTGATCATGTGGCCCTGAAAGGAGATGAGTCCGAGGTGCAACGCGAAGCCCCGCAATCTGGGCGCGAATGGGCCCGTGAGGTAGCCCTTGGCGTCCCTCCCCCCTTGGAGTGCTCAAGGGCTATGCCTTCGACATCGCGGTGATCATGGGGTTCTGAAACGAGAGGGGTGCGCCGCCCTGCTGGACTTCTCAGGAGCGAGCGGCAGCGGCGGCAATTGCGCAGTTTGGCAGCCCCCCCGGGGAGCGCGAGAGATCGTCTGGGTGTGCGCATCGCGTCGCTCCGCTGACATCCCAACGGCGAGCGAAAATAACACGGCTTGCGCAGTTGGCAGCCCCCCAGG